TCAGTGCGGTTTGCCGACTGGAAAAATAAACTTTATTTGAGATTTCCACTCTGAATACATTCTCTGCACGGTGGAGGATTCAAGTTTGGCGGAATCGTATATTTAAACTCGACGGAACAGAAAATTTGAATTCCACGGAATTTGATTCTTTCGGTGTTGTGATTCTAAAGTTGAAATTTACTTCAGAAAATCAAGAAACAATAAATTCACCAAGCGTTTCTAACAGTCTACAACAGGGGTGTACAACCTTCATTGCAGGAGGGACAGACACAATTAACTGGGTGAAACCGCGGGCTGCAATTTCATTTAAGATAGCGGGGCTCCCGAAGTATGTGAACCAAGATGGCGGACATCGGAATGTAATATGTGTACTAGGTTAGGACTTTTGGCTGACTTGGCGGGACGGCGGGACAAAACGCTAAAAAGCGGGACGTATGGTAAGCCTAACTAGAAATAAATGATAATGCTGTTTTTGTTACTTAATGGTAACTTTTATTTTAGTTGTGAAGTGGAGGTGCCTATCATCGCGAAAAGAATTTTTTGTTCCTCTTGTAGTTTCTCCCTCGCATGAAAAAGTTAATGGGCTCGTGCAACGAAAAAAAATGTTTGAGAACCAATTGTCTAAAAAGAAGTCTCTCATATGGCAATATTTTTCTGTGATTCTCATTTCCGTATATACTCACTTATAGGTCGCAACTTTTTTCCTTATATTTTCCTAAAAAAATATAGGTGCGACCAATCCTCTCGACATAAGTGCAAATCGCTCTGAATGTACTGGCAATGATATACAGGTCTGTAGCGAGTTGGTTATTCATGAAAATCGTATGGTCTGCGCTTGCGTACATGCACTTATTATCGCTCACAGGTGTCGATAAACATATTATTTTGATGGTGCTCCCGAAGTATGCGAACCAAGATGGCGGACATCGGAACGTAACATGGGTAACAGGTTAGGCGATAATTTTTTTCCAATTTTCCTTATTTTAGTCCTGTTATCAGTTCGAAGACTAGCTAAGTGACTCCCGTAGTATTTATACCTAAAATTATGGCCTAACCCTAACCTAGTACACATATTACATTCCGATGTCCGCCATCTTGGTTCGCATACTTCGGGAGCCCCATTTTGATTATATTGAACCCTACAAAAAACGGGCAGTTATCTATGCAAAAAAGCTAGGGAAAGGTCCTTTCAAAAATCCCTAGATTTTCAGTGCGAGTCAACTCTAAACTAGAGCTGCGTGCAGCTTTAACAGGCTTCCCGCGTAAAAAAAACTGAAGACGCGTTTTGCTCACTGGAGCGTGAAAGCGTGGTCAGTCATGCATAAAATTTGCAATTTATGATGGGGGACTTATTATCTGCATGAGATGTAAATTTCAAGTCTCTAAGTAGTGTCGTTCTCGAGAAGAAGATGAAAATGTAGAATCCTATATTGCTCACTGGAGCGTATCGCCGAGGTCACTCATGCGTATCCTTGACATATCGTATCCGGAACATGTCCATTAATCATTGTTATGAATTTCAATCCAATAGCATGTATGAATTTTGAGAAATCGCAAAAAAACATTTGAGGTGAATTTCAAGTTTGTAGGACCAATTTGAAAAAAAAATAATAAAAATAAATAATAATAAAACACAGGAATACAATAGGTTCCCTGCTGACAAGCAGCGGGAAGCCTAATTAAACTTTTTTTAACACAAAACTAATAGTGCGACCTATAGGCGAGTATATACGGTAAAAACCAGGGTCAGAGTTACTTTTTGCGCAACTGGGAGTCAAATCGATTATAGATTTCCCTGACATCGTCGCCCTGGTCGACTTTCACTTTAGAATAGGATCCAGGAGAGGAAACCCGATAAGACGGCTTAACCATATGGTGAACCACGGCTTCTCGTCGGGTTACCAGTCCATGTCGGGTATGGGATTAGTTACTTCGTTTTCAGAAGCATGAACTTGAAGAGGGAGCCGTAGCCGACCATAGGGAAATGAAGAGCCCAGCAACCTTCTCGCCCACAATTATCATCCACGGGATTGGAACCTGCGAACCCAGGTAATAACAGATGCAGTGGAAAGCGAATTCCTACCGCTTAGCAATTTGCGCCACGCACCATTTGAAATACACCTCGTTAAAGACCTCTAGATGTCAGACATGAGCATTTCTGTACAAATGTTTTATTTCTACTTTTGATACAATTTTTCGTCGCCATAAAAGACTCGACAGAAAATAAAAGGAAAAACGATCGAATAATGTCACCGTCATAGATATATATCATGCAAGTGCACTGTGACGTAATACATCGTATGACGTAGTTTTCATTGTAAGAAGATAACAATCCAAATTTTAAATTAATTCATTGTTACCTCATGAGTGAGATCACTATTTAATAACATCGTAACAAGAATAGCTACATAAGAATAATAATAAAATAGTCGTCCAGTCTCAAATCAACTCGGAATAGGATAGGATTATTTTTATATATTATCCTGTGGGAGAGGAAAGCCTATAAAGCGGCTTAATCATACAAATAATCCCGCCCACATTACTCATCGGTCTACATGTATATTATTGAAATTGGAATATGAATCCGGCATTAGGTCAATTTACATTCGGTTCGAAATCAGAAAGCACGGAAAAAATATCTGAAAACCTGAAACGCATAGAAGTGTTTATATCATTTTTAACCTAGAATATTTCAGAACCAAAATTTTGTTCGGATTTTAGACTTAAGCCCCAACCATCAAAGCCAGCCCCGGATTTAATTTTCAGTCTCACAACTATAGATGAGAGTAGCGAATCAAGCATACCTTATTGGGCAGGGGTGTGCAACCTTTAATACTTGTGGCATGCGTTATTTTCGCAAGCTAGCTGTTAAGGCATTGTAATGTCATAGGATAGGCATGGATAATAAATTGGACTCAGTTATAGGCTTTGCAACTACTCGAACGTACCATTGAATCGGATTAGAAACACAATTCGCGGGCAGCGCATCATTCAAAATTCGTACTTCTCTGCGGGTCGCACAATTTTTCCTTGAGGGGCAGCATTTGGCCCACAGGCCGCATGTTGCATACCCCCGTTATAGGGTATGAGCAGGGTTGGCCAACTATTTTAAATTTTGAAATTGTGAGATGGGATTTGGTAATTCTGACCTGCCAGCTATTTCAGATGCATGGACTTGGACCAAATACAAATAGATTGAATTGATATGGAACGACTTACAAGGCGAAATAAATTGAATAAAAAAAACATGAAAAATGCAACAAAAAATACAGAAATGCGAGTTATATACTGGGGATAGGAAAGCTGATAAAAGGGCTTGATTATACGAACACAAGATTTTGGGATTGAGTAAATTTAAGGTTGTAATGTGCCAACATGAAAAATGCAACAATAAAACGAAAACGAAATGAGAATTCATGTATACACTGGGGAGAAGAGAACGATAAGAGGGCTTGATCGAACAAGGACCAAGAGCCCAAGATTTCGGGACTAAGTTAAATTAAAAAACATTCGGCCCAGCTGAAATGTACCAACACGAAAAATGTAACAAAAATGAAACGAGAATATCGGTTGGAAACCAAAGACTTATCGATCGATAGTTAGGGGATTCTCCAAAACAAACTGCAGTTTCGATTCATCCGCTCTTGTAACTTGCGCACTGCTCATCGCACACACACACTCGGCAGGTCTCAAAATTCTCTCGCTTTACAAAAATCTAGATCACTATATCAATAATTGATTGATAACTCGCTAATTATACGACATAATTCGCCCAAAATCAATAGGCTTCTGGTCCGAGAAAGGATGAATGCACATGCAAAATCTGGAGCAGATTCAATCTCGTTTTCGTGAGATATCGCGTGCATCTAACAGACAAATACCTATCAACATACTTACCGATTAAAATCGATAAGTAATGATAGTTCATGTATAGACTGGGAAAAGGAGAGTTGAGAAAATGGCTTCATTAGCCCCAGTCACGATTATAAATGAAAGAGTGGAAAAACAGGGTACGACCTAGCTTAAATGCACTAATTGGAGCATTAACTAAAAAAGAATGCAATCGCAAGACGGTCAGTTAAGACAAGGGTTCTAGTTTGATGAATACATTGGTAAAATCTTAAACTAGAATACTTCACTTTTAGAAAAAAAAGCGTTAGGCAAATAGATTCATAAGAAGCGTGAATCTTGATGTTCTGCGTTAGGATAGTTAAAAACTTTGGGCAAATGGTTTGAGTAAGCGTATGACGTGGGATTCATGATATGAGTTAGGATAGTTATCAAATTTCAGGCAAATTTTTCGAGGATTCCTATGAAGTGTAGGTTATGCGAAGGTATGGTCTGTGCCAAGATAGGTATGAAGCTGTATGCAACGGAATTCATAGCACGACCAAAAACACCATCCCATAATGTAATAAAAAAAATGGCGAACTAGCAATAAGAACCGTAATAAATTTATTCAGAACGACATTCTAAACATGAAATCCAACAGAAACCAGATCACTTTGAAAATAAACAACCCAATGAATCGTGAAGATAAACTGCTGAATTTAAACACTGACACTTTAAAAGCTATTTCACCAACAGAGACTAAGTTAGTGTTGTTTCATCTAATTGGGAAGCCTTGTAAAGAAAAATATCGGTAGGTAAACTTTATTTAGTGCATTTCAAACAAACTGCCATTAGTGGAAATCACTGAGGCATGACCAATCAGAATATTTTATTTTAACATATAAAAAAGTATCACTGATAATTTATGTCCAATTTAAGTAGGAAAACTCCGGTACCATGGAGATAATGTAAATAGTTTTAGGGTTTTTTGAAGTTATTTTTAAGAGATAGAATTTAGTTGACTATCCATAGCTTGACTGCAATCACAGGAATTGACTTGATTTATAATTTTTTATCGATACAGTTTCATGTCCAAGACAGATTATTTACTGGGTTGGCAGAATAATATTAACCTGGTTAAAAGGCACAGGATGCTGTCGGTTTATTTCTTTGCCAAAAGCACATGCAATTCTTTTCAGTTAATTAATTTTCAGGTTAAATTTCAACTATACATGCAGTTATGCCCAAAAGAGATTCAATGACTGGGTAGTAGTTTGATTCGCAGAATAATATTAACCTGATTAAAATGCACAAAATGCTGCCAATTTGACTATTTTTTCTGCATACAAAAAAATTCACCCAAAATACTTCAAACACAAATGAAAACTCAACTTTGATTGGAAATGAACAATTCATGATGAAGGGTGTTTAAAATATAAACATATTACTTGATTAAAACAATTTAAATGATTCCGAATGGAAATTCTCCACAACGAGACCTCAAATTGTGCATATCGCTTTTTTAAATATCAATTAAAAATGAATTATCAAAATCTTTCTTTTCATTTTGTCCAATTTCCACCAAACTTACGATTTTCGGGATTAAAGCATAACTCTAACTGCCCCATCAGGCATATTGCGACCAGAGGAGCGTACAGAGTTCTGATTGGTTCATTCAAATTTTCATGCATGTTGATTGGTCGGTTCAAATTTTTCATGAATGTTGATTGGTCAGTTGGAGTCATGTGATATTGATAGGTCGGTGAGTGGGTTGGCATGCAAAACAAAAAATGAAAACACATTAACTCAAAGAGAAAAAAATAAATTGTGAGAATTTGAAAAATGTGAGAGAACATGCATGAAAATATTTGTTCATATTTAAATGAAAAAACATGCTGAATGTAAAAATAACCAGTCAATGTGCTGTAATACTTATTCAAAAGCTTACAAATCAAAAAGGTAATTAATGCTCTCCTATATCTTTTATGACATTGTTTCATTCCAATATTTTATGGTAAAAATTGAGCCCAGTGGTACAAGGAATTAAGCTTTAAGTCTTTTTGACTGTCGAATCGAAACAAAGTTTCTGGGACTTAGATTTGACGACGTCTTACAACTTCTACTGCGAGTGTATCAAAAAAAAATGCTGTTATTTCTTTGAATTTATACAGGACAGGATCCCCATACTTTTTCTTTGTAATGAATAACCATTCATGCATATTTTTAAAACAAAAATAAAAACGTTTTAGGACATAATTTTGTGATCAAAATATAAAATAACCTTCCAAATGCTTGCAAAACAAAACTTGTGAACAGAAACATGCAGAAACAAAAAATGACTTTGGCATGCCAACCCATATGACCTTCTTACCCCTATTTGACCTTGGATTTGAATTTATAACAATACAGCATCAGCTGGATGAGAGTAAACTCAAATTTCTAAAAAATTGTGTTAGGCCTTATATTCATAAAATCCAATTTTCAATACAGACAAGTAATAACTGTCTAATTTAAACTCTTCCAAAATACGACGAAAATAGAATTTTTATGAAATGGCACCAATTCATTAAAGATCCCATGAATTTAATCGTGAACTGTTTCCACCAAGAAAATTACGAGATAAGTAAAATGATTTGTATTCAGAAGAACAAAATTCCCAAATGAAAGGCGGATGTCCGTCAAAAATCGATTAAAAATTGAGAAACACTGATTATTCAAAAGATACCATGAATTGAATATTTTGGTATATTTCTGAGTGAAGAATAGAACCGTAATAACTGTTTTGTTACATTCATTTTGAAAATCAGATAAAGTAAGAAGCTCTAAGTAAGAAAACATTAATTCATTTACTATTAAAGTGTTTTTTTAAGAAAAAGGTTGAGATTTAAAAAAAAAATTCCAACTCCTAAATAAACTTGGTTTTCTGTCTCGTTGATTCATTTCACAAAATCAGCAAAAAGCTAATTCATAGTGTAAAAGCCTTAATTTGTAAAAGGAACCCGATGTAATGAATATTGAAACATTTTATCTCATTAAAAACTCATGAAATCTCGCCCACTCAGTCCCTACGGTATTACATACATGTATTGACACAAGAGGCTCGCCCTAAACCAAACAAAAAATATTCGAGCTAATGTTTAACGAGCGTGAATAAAGAACATTTTGGAAATTGAACGGCTATAAAATGATTCAGACGTTTTCTAAAAGCAATGGTTACATCTGGGTTTGATGTTTGAATATCACTCAGACCTAATACTTAAATTTCTATTCATTGAATGTTAAAATGAATAAAGTATATTTGTTGTATCAATTTTTTTGTGAATTTAGGGTTACCACATTTTAAAATATTTGTCCAAGGTGTTTTATGGTAATTTGTGTTGCCGGAAATTTACATTTTCTATGGTTAAAATTGTTTCTTGAATTGTCACTATCTTCATGGGATGATTTTAGCATAGAAATATTTATTTTTGAGAAAAATTTAGTAAAAATTCATTTGTTCATTGATAGAAAGATATATGCAAAGAAGACTTATTTTAGTTATTTAAATGTTTATCACTTGTTACATATCTCATTTCCAATAGATCTAAAACTATACTTAAAGATTTGACATAGCCTAAATGTAATCGAGCATAAATATACAGCGTTACCCCAAAATAGAACCTTTAAACTTTTTACTTACTTTTACAAAATGGGGAAAAATTTATTCAACACCTATATTGTGTATGATTGTACCCAAGAGTTGCAGAAATCTAGGATGATTTGTTATTAAGTTATTATCTCTCTAGATTCTATAATATGTTTCAAATGACATGGGTTCCGTTTTTTTTTATTGAATCACCTGTATATTCCCTTAACCTTTCAGGATACGACTTCATTCATACACTTCTGGTAAATATTCGGTGAATCACAATTGTTACATTTAGATGTCAATGCTTACTATTGATACTTAAAAACCATTACGGAAAAATTCGATGTGAAAAAATTAGCTGTGACGTATTTTACGGTAGATTGAAATTAACATTGCATCTTATTTTATGAATTAACTATAAACTTATATACCGAAGAATTAGAGGCATTCTTTGGATAGGCTCACAAGCTCAAACAATGCATAGCGAACAACAACATAAAACAGACAAAAGGGTGAATAATGTACCATAGCGTGGCGACAAATAGTGTTTATAAAGGTAAGGGTGACACGGATTATTATTCCCTGACAGAGGTAACAATATAGAGTTCTTTCTTTCAATTTAAAGGGGGGGGGGGGGGGTGAACTCTCCGAAAAATAAAGAATTAGTGAGTTAATACCAAGCACATGAACAACTGATGGATTTTTTTGGGGGTAGATACACTCAACTTCACTATATTACTATTGACTTCAATTTATTGTATAATGTTCTAATCACAAAAAGAAAAGATAAAAATACAAAAAAAAAAATTAGCATGTTGAGTATGGTTTATACGAAAAGTGAAAATAATAGGTGGTGATCTCCAAAAATTGTGAATAAAATGACTATTAAAGATTCTTAAATAATTCATTTCAACTCAACATTTCACAAATAAACAGATCACCCCGATGTGATACTGATGAAATTCTGTCCTGCAAGGAATAACTTATTGTAAACGGTGAGGGCAGAAGCTCAAAGATATGCTTTTCCAAGATTTCAATCCCATTATAACTAAATATCTCCCTTTCTCTTGAATTGATTCTGTTTTAGTTTTTTTAACCATACAGTTTCAAGTAATAAACTAATCTAATTGTTTAAATTTTGCAGTTTTTCAACAAAAAATTTCTGGACACAAGAAATCAAATAATTTGAATATAAACATATCAATGACATAATAATAGTAATTAATAGGCTCAGAAAATATAGTTAGAATACGAAAATAATGTTGATAACACGGGCCCTAGTGGCATAAAATACAGTCAATAAATTTTAAAAATGGACATTTTAATTCATTGTAGTCATTAGTGATTGGTTTCTCAAGGTCAAACTGACCATGCAAGGTCAAATGTCCCACAAAAATGACCTTTTAACTTTCTTAATAATCAAAATAATTTTCTCAAAGTCATTTGGAGAAGTCCCCTTTCCAGGGCGAATGACTTTTCAAGGTCAAAATGACAATCCAAGGTTAATAAACCATTTTCAAAAAAATGACCTTGCAAAGTCAAAATGACCTTTCAAGGTCAAAATAACTATTTAAGATCAAAAAGAACATTGCATGAAAATGAGTTTCTTTCGAATTCAAAACGACTTCGGACAAATGACCTTGCAAGGTTACCAATGCATGAAAAATGTGTCTTTTCAAGGTCAAAAAGACTGACCATTCAAGGTCAAAAGAATCTTTGGACAAATGACCTTGCAAGGTCAAAATGACCCGTTGCAGAAATAGTCTTTTCAAGGTCAAAGTGACATTTTGAGTTCAAGAACTGACTCAAGGTCGTAGAAATACATTTGAAGGTTAAAAATTTGTTGTGAAAAGTTTCTTCTGATTTAAATCATCATCGAGGCTTCTTGCTGTTGACGATAAAATTTGCAGAAAAAAAAAGAGTTGTTTAATAATGGAAATTTATTTTATAAACGTTAAAACTATGATAAAAACAATTTATGCTGCAATCCGGTCCACCCATTCAGCCTAGGGCAGGGTTCCCAAACTGGGGTACATGTACTCCCCGAAGTACATTTCGACTTTTTCAAGAGGTACATTACACCAAGTATAAGGTTATTCATGATACAAATTTGATATTGGATTGGATTCCGCAACGCATGGAATTCAATATATAGGGTCTCCACAAAGTCTCTTTACAATTTTAATTTTTTTATGAGGTCAGTTCTCAATATATCTCAACCAGGATTGTTGTTTTTAAATCAGTAATTGTTTAAGTGTTTTTACTCCATTTAACACATCTGTGAGGTCCAAAACAGTATTTGATATCAATAAATTCACTTTGCAATTAAAAAAAAATTTAATACTTTATGGACAACCTGTATACACAATAGTTGGAATTTGAAAATGCAGAAAATAAATAGTGTTTAGTTTCCATACTTCACTGCTCAGAAGGTATATGAAGGTTTTTTTTGGGCGCTTCAGAAGTTTGTGTACCAATATGGAGGTAACTAATTTTGGTCGCCTACTTTACATAAAGATGTGTAAAGGGACTGAAACCATGGACAGGGGGTATAATCACTTGGCTAACACAGACAGTCCCTGAACTCTTGAAAGAACTAAAATAAGGAAAATCGGAATAAAATTATGGCCATCCCTAACCTGGTACACATACTATGGAAGTACATTTTTTGCATAACATGAGACTTTCCTCAAATAAAATTAGAAAATTGTATCTAAAATTTGAACATTCATTGTAAATAACTTAATAACAATGTTAATAATGATTTGAAGACCTGAACTCCTTAGCAGTCACATTCTTTCAACCCCAATACCCCCCCAGTAGAAGCTTTAACAGCCTACAATTATAGTAAATACCAGGTCTACATTCACAGGTCACATGTTTCATTTTGTCCAATCAAAGCAATCATCACAAGGGCAGGGGGTACACAAGTAATCTGTCCAACAAACAGAAAGTTTGGGACACCCTGACCTAAGGTGAAATGAATGCAGAAACAGAAAATACTTCTTACAAAAATAGCAGCTCACAAGTGAACCTTTTTCTGAGTTGCATATAATTTTTATTTTAATGGCATTTTGTTGAATTATTAAACCTTAATCCTTAATTAAAATATTAATATTAATTACTGTATATCCTCGCATATAGGCTGCGTTTGAAACCAAAAAAAAAAGTAGTCAAACTAAGGGGTCTGCTTATATTCGGATAACTCTGATCGCACTTAAAATTTAGCTTTTACACGCATAACTCTGATCTCACTCAAATAAAATTACATTATGCTAACTTGCGAAAATTCCAACAGCTACAACTCACGATAAGAGCATGCAAATTGTAGGATTGGCTAATATGCCAATTTTTATTAATTCACTGTTTTTATGAGGTCGACTCATATGTGAGGATATACAGTAATAGAAACACCGATAAACTGAGAATTTTCACCAAAGATATTTTTCAGACAATGAAATTATTCGAGACCCACCTTATTAGAAGTACCGTTGCTCCATTCGCTTGGTTCTTTTGTGACGAGAGGTCCCGCTCCGTCGAGCATGATATCATTAGCGCCATCATCTGGTGCGCTGAAAAATTGGAATGAAGTTAAAAAAATTAATACATCGCATTAATGTGCTGGTCAAAGGCATGGGCAATATTTTTGGATGTCTAGTGATCAGAGTGAGAAACCAAACTATATTAAAATCAGACAGAATTGTGCAGGGATTGACATAATTAATTACTTATCGATTTTAATCGGTAAGTATGTTGATAGGTATTTGTCAGTTTGTATGTCTGTTTGTTTGTCTGTTAGATGCACGCGATATCTCACGAAAGCGAGATTGAATCTGCTCCAGATTTTGCATGTGCATTCATCATATCTCGGACCAGAATCCTATTGATTTTGGGCAAATTATGTCGTATAATTAGCGAGTTATTAATTAATTAGTGATGGGAGACAAGGTGTCGCTATGGAGTAAGAGCGCTGTTTTGGGGGATCCCCTAACTTTCGATCGATAAGTCTTCGGTCTCTGACCGATATTCTCGTTATGTTGTCCAAAGTTATGTTGTTGTCCAAAGTTATCGAGTATAGGTATAATAGTAAATGGTAGTTAAGTGTCAAACAATTCCAATTCATTTTTAAACCTTTTCGGAGTAGATGAGGGTATTTCTGAATACTAGAGTGGTAGTCCGAGTGGAGCTAAATTTTCAACAGAAATGACTAGACCAGGGGTTCCCAAGCTTTTTTCAGGACGACCCCAAAAACAACTTTCAAGTGTCCAGTGCGACCCCAAGTCAATATATATATTTATATATTTTTTTTTTCATGAATCTTTAGTAGAGCTTCTTTCACTGGACTTTTGAGCTTGGTCATGTAGGGGTATTAAGTGAAAAAAGCTAAACCAAACAGTGATGTCACAATAAACACTACATTTTCTATAACATAAGCATAGAGTGATGCCTATGGGCCTGTTTTACAGTAAGCCATGGTACAAACTGCTAAATTTAACATAGTTTGTCAAATCTTAGGTGATTTGTACATCCATCCTCTACTATACCTCAGCGACCCCACCGACCCCATGACCTGTTTGCGACCCTACTTATTTATCATCCCGACCCAACTTGGGGTCACACCCCTGGTTTGGGAACCCCTGGACTAGACAGTGTTTTTTTCCTCAACTTTTTTTGTTTCATGGACGGCTCCCAAAGGCTTTTATCCCTCATGGTCCCCTGTTTATCATTCCAACTAATAGTGTTTATAGTGGTATTTTGATTGATGGATTCCAAATCCCATCATGTTCAAACAATTCATGCTTAAAAAAGTGAAAATACCCTGCGAAATACCTAATCGAGCAATGAATTACGAAAAAACGGGGAGTAAAGTGAAAAATAAAACCAGATTTGCGTATAGCATTGCAGTGATCCTCCACCTGCTCTGTGGTCCACAGTTGGGAAACGCTAGACCAGAGAATAAAATAAGCTAAAATTTTTGAGTACGGAAATTTCTTCACATGCCTAATTTTTTTCAGCCAGATGCTGGAGTTGGGAGTCAATGATTTTGTTGTCGAATTGAACTCAACTTACAAACTCCGCCTTTTAATCAATAAAGTGAAAGTGGTGAATCTCACAAAAACACTATTTCCATCGATTTGAGCGCACTTCAAAGAAATATAGTAAAACTGCATTAAAAACAGTAATTTATTTCTTTATTAGTACTTAGTAGTTCTGCAGAACAGGGGTCAAAATTGTGACTAAATTATACACGATGGCGAACTCAGCCGTACTTCGGCGATCCCCGTTCGTAAATTTGTCTCCCAACTGGTGAACAGGCCTTCCTATCTTAACAAGAGAACAGGCATCGTGCCAGTCTAGAAAGCATGGCATTTTCGTTAACCATTCAATATCGTTAAACGACGCCTTATTTTTGATTGTCAAGTTTACAGCAAAATTATTAATTTAACCACAAGCTAAATTTTTTTGACCAGGGGCAAAAAAAGTTTGAGAAACAATGGTTTAGAAAATTGCTTTTATAAAACTGAGTATGGAAAGAAACAAGGCAATGATTTTTATATTTCAAGGAGTAAGTTATTAAGTTCATAATTTTCCCACCAATGCAAGGTTATAGTGGTTCCATAATATCACTATTTACCAAACATGGTAGGTATATAACTCAAATAAATTTAACATAGATTATATATGGCCACACCATGCTAGTGATAATGCAATCAAAAATTTCTGACCTACATTACTATAGTACAACCTTAAGGAATTCAATGTTCCTATTGAAAAACTTTGTTCCATCCCGAAATTTAAACAAAATTTTTGGGTTAAGAAACGCAATTATAGCAACTTTTATGTCATAAATAATATGTTTGAGTCAGTACAATATTGCAAATTGAAATTGAATTAAAGCCTTCAATATAAAAGTTACGTTTTGTTTCCATGGGGAACGTTGAAATTCTATCATACCTCTTATTACCCAACAAAAGATAATGGAGATTATATTATGAAGTTTGAATAGAAAATAGTCACGCTTGAACGATTAAGAAAAGGGGCATTGGCTTGTTATTCAAACCTAGTATCACAAAGCTGGTACACCCCATATCAGAAACAAAAGGCCAATTTGTGGGCATACTACATTATTTCAGTGTTCTGTTCAATTGTAATGATAGCCAAACCAAATACATTTTTCTAAAATGATTTTTCAAGAATTAATAATTTTGATGGCAAAATTTGAAAATTTTTAAATCTCAACATAAAATTACAGTAGCCATTGAGAAGACAACGATTATTATGACCTCACTATAGCCTGAGGTTATTGATCACTAAATCAATTCATGACTTAATAATAGGTTGTCATTGTCGTTTATGAAGTAACGAATCTTTTAATTTTCACCATGTCACTTTCTAAATCTTTTAAATTGTAGTTTATCTAAATAATTTATTGCTATAAGTACAAGATTGAAGACGTCCATAGAAGACCAGTAAAGTTATTTATTTGGCTTGTTACCTATCAAGTTTTTTTAAAGCGAATGGAATACTGGGATTTAATTTAATATAAGAAAATTTGATCGAAACAAGGCAACATGTTGAAAAGCAAAAATGATCTCTGTGCAAAATTTCAGCCAGCCACTGAATTGACAATAACTTCTCAAAATGGAAAATTTCAAATGAAACTATTCTAAAACATTCCTAAACTTCAAGAATAGCCAAAAAGCCATAATCAAGTCAAATGGGATATTCCAATACATTTAGAATTAGTGAAGATTCTGAAAAGGTATTTGTATTTTCAAATCATACCATGCTAAATTACTAAAACAAATTGATACTTCATACGAGCAAAGTTACTCAAAAATTATCCTAGAATCGTGGCTTACTGCAACTGTCTGGACTTCATATGCTGGATTATAGAAAAAACATGGAATTTCATTTCACTTTCGTGGTCTCATGGACATGCATGGTTTCCATTACTAACTTGAATTCTAGAAATACCATTTCAAACTATTACCTACTAAAGTTGAGAATTTATAATCCAGGGTGTCCAAATATTTGCCCGATTTCATAGTTAAAATTAACACAATTAAAAATCTCACCGATTTATATAGTAATATAACGGTGACCGTACATTTGAACCCATGTGCATATCCACGGGTTCAATCTATATGCGGGTGTTAAAACCCATGGGTTAGGGTTAGTATGGGTTTAACTATCCGTGAAACAAAAAAAATTCCATAGGTGCAATAGCATACAGGTGCAATTGTCATGGGTTCAAATGTACGTGGGTTCAAATGTAATGGAACCTAATATAACAACAATAGTAAGTTTAAATTATTGTATGATAAATGAGAACTTATTATTAATAAACCGGACAAAATTTTTTGAACACCCCATATTATCTCAACTTTGTACATGATTACAAAATTAGGGGATACGATACACACAATAGATTAGGATAAGGATATACTGCTTCCTATGCTGAAAAAAAGTAATGCATTTTATTTCACGTTCTCCATCAGTCGTGCAACAGCATAATATAGTACTTTGTTCTAATCAATCATAAGATTGACATTTCAAAATATATTTTTCCAAAAGCAGAGATTACGAAACATCAATGGAGATCGATCAATTGTTAAATATCTTGTGCAGCAGGCCGTGAACACATGTAATAATTAACTCTTAATAATACAGAACTAAATTCATATTTCAAATTTTCAAATATGTTCATCTGTACTGATATCATGATATCAATATTTACTTCTTAAGACTTAAAACAAATTGTAGCTTCACTTTAAGCAACGAATAATGATAACTTGTTAACAAATATAATTCAATAGAAACATCACTTTTGTGTTGAATTGAACAGTACTGGCATATCTAGCATGCGGTAGGATTTTTAATGGCATACAGGGCTGCACTATAATAAAAGGAAACTTTTGTACCACCAAGATTAATATTTGTTTATAATATCTTTACAATCATAATAACGATCACAAGAATTGAGAGAGGAATATCAATGCCGGTATTAACACCACCTCTGGGCATAACATTTTAACTATTTTTGACATCATAGGACACATCACAGGTTGAAAATCCATTTTGTTAGCATTTGTTTGTTGGCTTAAATTATAAAACATGGCACATAAAATAACTTTGAAAATGTGTTATGGCCTAACCCTAACTTATACACATATTACATTCCGATGTCCGCCATCTTGGTTGGCATCTTTCGGGAGCCCCCATAAAAGTTTAGAGTCTTTGCAAGCATGAAAGTTTGAGAACCACTGTTTAATGTTCTTAACTACAGGCTTCAGTGGCCAATGTTTATATTAATAAGTGAAAGCGTCAGCGCGCTGGTATTTCAACCGATGACTTATTAAGTGCTTTCTTCCTACTTGAGGGAACTTAAACACTTAGATAACAGAAACTAAGCTATGATAGCAAACGGCCATAGAGTGTCCAATCGGTGAAGGTAAATAGCAGAAGGTTAATTACATTCTAGAATAATATTTTCATTGAATATAGTCTTCATTGGGTCTTTTTTTAGATAAATTTGAACAAGTTGTTCCAAATTAAATCCTTGATGCAAAGTATATAAAGCACAGATAGCCAAGTCGAGACAAATCAAATCTTTTCACCCTTCAATTTTTAAAATTTTATCCATGTACCTTGACTCTACAAATATTATGATCATCGTCTTTACAGTTATTGTCAATAAATGAAGGCAAATCATGTCACACTGTGAAACTACCTGATATCTTTATGAATTATAGGCCAGTGACAGCTTGACAACTTTAACACGTTCACGTATAAACGTGGATTAAGTGAGTGGGAAAATGTACAATAGAATGTAAATGATTCACAATAAAGCCGTCTAATTATGACACAGTTTGACAGCCTAAACAACTTAACAACGAAGTGTAGTCTTAATAAAATAATAAAATAGCATTTACATATTTATCCCAGGGGAGAGGAAAGTCCAAAACACGGCTAAATCGACGGCAGTAATTTGTTTTCAGAAGCATGGACTTGATGGTGGAGGAAGCAGGTTACGTAAACCACCCTACGACGGCAAGGAGTCCAGTAATCCTCTCGCACATACCTATTGCCACATGAAATTCAAACCCGCGAATCCACGTAGGGTAACCAGCGGTGGTGAGCGTATTCCTAACATTCTCAATGCAATCTTGCAATGTCAAACTGATGAGATGACCAAGCAACTTTTTTTAAAGCAAACTCAGAAGTATGACCCACTGAATGGGACAGGTTTATATAAATTATAGATATTTGTTTCAAACCACAAGAACCATTATCAGTGATGTAAACATAACAAAAGAACATGATATAAAATAAAAATTAGTTGCGAAAGACTCGGCGAGATATCCTGTCAGAGACCAATTATTACAGCATAAATACAGAAAACAGCATAAATGTAGCAATGTCTTACCAAACAAATTTTTTTCTTGACAACTCACTGAATGACCAGGCCTATATAAATTATGAAAATTTGTTTTAACAGCGAAGAAACCGTTGTGATGTGATGAAATAAACAAAAAAAATAACATAATAACAATAGAATGGGTTGCGAAAGACTCAACGAGATATCCTGTTTGCGACAACTTATTGCTGTATTACAACATATATATAGCGGAGAACAACTCAATATGAAATATTAATTAAAAAATGCACTGGAATAACATAGATTTGAGAGAAAAACAGACCGCTGTATATATAAGAATTACTGAGTCAAAGCCTTGTTCTGAGCAAACACAAAAAGAAAACAAATTAAAACATCAACTTACTCTTCTTCATCGTGATCTTTCTCATCAAACCAACCTAAAAATAAAAATAATTAAGTTAAAAAGCTGAAAAACATTTTTTCTGTTCAAGCATTTAATGGTAAGCAATAGTCACAGAGCACAATGTTTTATGTTCTGTACCAAATGCTGTTTTATAATTATTGACAGACTTGCCATTATTCACATTTTGTTTTCGATTAGTAATAAGTTTATATTAGTTAGTAATGAGTTGTTGATAGTTTAGCAGGATGTGAGCTTTCTTGCGTTATTAGAACATCACAACATATTTTCTCTATGGCTAATGATTGATAAAAAGGTGCTCCCGAAGTATGTGAACCAAGATGGCGGACATCGGAACGTAACATGGGTAACAGGTTAGGGTTAGGCGATAATTTTTTTCCAATTTTCCTTATTTTAGTCCTATTATCAGTTCGAAGACTAGCCAAGAGCCTCCCGTAGTATTTATACCTAACATTATGGCCTAACCCTAACCTAGTACACATATTACATTCCGATGTCCGCCATCTTGGTTCGCATACTTCGGGAGCCCCGATAAAAATACCACTTGAACTCAGAATTTTACAATGAGGAAATGGGATTAGCTTGGTATCAGGAAATGCCAACAATGGTACATGTTGGAGTTACTTCAATTTTAACCCAAATCTAACTACAATTCGATGAAGCATGTTGGGTCAAAATAAACTTATGTTGAGTATAGCGACTTAATTCTGGCCGCCTTGCTCCATTGATCTTTCAAATTAGTCTAGTCTTAAAATTTTCCCACGTTTCTCACAAGAATCAATGTAGCATGACCAGCCAGAACAATTTATTATAAATTATAAGAACCCAATGCTGACACTGAAAGTTTTGCTCTATTAACTTGAAATGGGTTGAAAAAAGTGAAAATAATATGGTAGCCTTAGTAGCCTTGGAACTTCAATGGAAGACCATAACTGATCTCAGAAATGAGTTGCTTCACTTCTGAGTGAGTGTACTTGATCTTGCTTTGAGCAACTTATCTTTTGATAAAAGACTAGTCTGACTGTAATCTATTGTTTCAACCAACACTATAAATCGATGGTTCACACCAGTGTTCACTATTAGCGCACTTTTTTGCGAAAATTGCGAAGCACTTTCGCAACTTTTTTTAGGGACTGCGAAATAGCACTTTTTTCCGATTTTGAATGGAATAAAAATTCAAAGTTAACAAATATTTTCGAGTATTAAGTTGACAAATAAGTAACATACTGGTACTTTTGTAACTCAATTCTGCATATCATAACGATATTTACCGTAATTCTAACCTATGAGATGCAGACATAGGAGATAAAACTTTTGCATTAACGGCAAAATTCTTGTTTATAATATGATTATTATACAAGCACACGGATTCCGCTTCTCCCGCAAAAAACGCTCCCCGGGCGTTTCTTTGAACGAGAGTGGTCATGTGACTATCAATGATATCGATGAATTCAAAATGACTATAAAAAGTGTTAGTAACGTGTTTTAGTCACTTTGGATGAATTGTGACCAAACTGCATGATTTTCAAATCAGACGAAACTTTTAGCAGCATGTCACAGATTTGCAAAATCAACAAATTCACAAAATACCATTAAGTGCCATTTTATTGTAATCACAATGTTGAAAGGACATGGCATTTTCCGGAATTTTGCGATATTTACACAACTATTTCTCATTGATATGGGAGGAGGGGTGGGCAAAATTCAATATTTTTTTAAATCGAATATTTTTAAGGAGTACCGAATAAACGTGGTGGAAACATTAAAAAATCGGCAACAAAGCCTTTTTACTGGTTAATTCCGTTGTAATCGCTAATTGTTCTTGTCACCGATCGTTTTGGCGGCGATATCCAGGCTTTGGGTAATCTATATTCCCGCCCTCTCTTTTTTACAAATATGAATTCTTGTGGGTCGGCGGACATCGAAGTTTTATATTTCGGGTTTACCCGTTCGTTCACATCGGCAACAGCTGTTGAAGACATTGAGGACTCAAATTAACATTTGCGCTGGCTTTAATATTACCTATCAAGATTTGTAAATTTACCGTCCCAATTTTATGCGAATGGTAATATTATTGTCCATACCGTGATGCAGACATTTATTAAGACGATAATTAACTTTCTCATGTATTTCTATGGTGATAAACTTCGCAAATCTGAAATTGTGCCAATCCTGAATGTTGATTTGAAATAGTGATTGAATAATTCGGCTATAAAAGCATTTCTGCGTGGTCATAAGACGAGACGACGTTAATTAATGAACAGCACTTCTTTTACAGGATATTTTACGTATGCGACTTAATGCTAAAAAGATTGGGCTTGAGTGCTTTTTTTTTCGAGTGCTCGAGTGCCTAATAGAGGTCAGGAGCTAATTGTAACTAATTCCCTCAAGTTTCAACGTGTTTCAACAAAACAATACCCCGGCGATAATTATAGCTAAAATGTTACCGAGCAATTCACAATTTTATTTATGGAATTTGCAAATTCACCAGTTTCTTGACGATTTTGATATTGTCACGCCCTAATTATGAGTGCAAAAAATACTCCCCTTCTTCCGCGGCGGTTTGACGGGTTCTTTGTTCCATTCTTCAGAAAGTTCTGACACGGGGGATATAGAATACTGAATCCGGAGGGTTGAATCCCTGTCCACTTACTGGTGATTTTCCGTTTTGAAATGCGTGAAACATTTTTTCTCTATTTTAAATTAAATGACGTTTCGCGGGCTAGAGTTCTCCCCGAAAATGATGTGTTCCAGACGTTAGTTAGACGATAGATAAAACATTAAATTAATAATTTTCGTGACGCCCGTTTTCGAAAATACAAAGTTATATCGCAAAAAAATGCGTTATGATACATTTGGAATGAAACATTATTTACGGTGAATTCAGATCACATTTTACTCTCCATGATACCCGGTATCCGAAAATACAGTTGTATCTCGAAAAATGTGTTTTGTTACATTTAAAATAAAACATTTTTGCGATTAATTTAGATCATATTTTACTTTTCACGACACCCGTTTCCGAAAATACAAGGTTATATCGCGAAAATGTGTTTTGTTACATTTAAAATAAAACATTTTTGCGATTAATTTAGATCATATTTTACTTTTCAGGACACCCGTTTTCGAAAATACAAGGTTATATCGCAAAATGTGTTTTGTTACATTTAAAATAAAACATTTTTGCAATTAATTTAGATCAAATTTTACCTTTCACGGCATCCCGTTTCCGAAAATACAAAGTTATATCACATAAATGCGTTTTGTTACATTTATTTTGCATTCCCAATAAAATACATATTTTCCCTAATTAAGGTCCTCGATGAATCTGTTCCTGTCGTTCAAGCTCAACACACGTTTGGACGAGTGTGGGGTGGTTTTTTGATCGACGATAAATTAAAAAGTTGCCACACGTTATTTGTATAACGATAATAACTGAAAATTAAGATTTTATAATAGAAGTGAATTTGTCTCAAGATGGTATTTTACGATTCCTGCCCACAGAAAATAAACACGCTGACAGGCTTGGTTATAATTGATATTCGTTTAATTTATTTTACACTAATAATAAACGCGCCACACCAATTGCGACCATATAAATTGCAGTCGCATCGGTATGGACTGTATGTTTTTGGCGCTCTCAAATTAATAATAATTTTCAACAAAACAATACCCCGACGGTCATTAAAGCTGAATTCGTTACCGAATAATTCGCAATTTTATTTACGGAATTGCAATTTCAAGATCTCACTTGACGATTTTGATGATGTCATGCCCTAATTATTACTGCTTAAATGCCTCAAAATACAGGCGCAACAATTCGTAAACGAGCCGTTATAACGAAATTCGCGATTGATTTTACCTCTCTCTTGTTTACAATTTTAACATCCCGCCGGCCATGTATGGTCGAATAAAATGTTCACATATTCGAAACATGACTTGGCCAAGGATGGAAGGGATCACTAAAGAGCTAATGGAAAGTACATACGCGAGGGTATGATATTAATATCGAGAATATTTGTGAGCATATCACAGGACGGAAATATTTTGCACCCGGCTGTTTGTTGGCAGAACAACGATACGCTAAAGTTAATTGATCGAATACAGGGAAGTATTTATTTATCATCTCACTTGCGAACATCGAGGTTTTGGCGGAATTGTACGATCATGTTGTCTTTCTTAAATAATAACTTTTTCAATAAATGTTCATTTTACTTTTGCGTCTTTATTATATGTCTGGTTTTCATTTATTTTAAATTCGAAATTGTCCGAAATACTCCAACAGGTGTATAGGTACAATAATAATAGTACTTACCAAGTACCTACCAGGGAAGTTTAATACACACGATGTGTAAAGGGCGTCGTAACTCCCGTTTATTATTTATAAATTTTTTTACATTCTGCTTAAAAAACAACGGCAGTCATCTCACGTAACTCTCGCGACCAAATCTTCTTTGTTTTGTATGGCATCGTCTTGGCGACGAATTTATTGCCGACTGAATTTTAATTGTGTTTTAGGTTAGTTATTTTCTATTTGTTGGTTTCTAAACTTTACAAACTTGGGTAGCAATTACTATTAATGTGAGATTTGTGCATATGAACGATTGAATATTGCGACTGGATGTCCGATATCTGAGAATGCGTAATTCTCTTTCAACATTAATTTTCAGGATATCAGCGTTCATGTGGTCGAATAAAAATTATTTATCAAATGGATTGGTATTTCGAGACACTCTCAAAATTATTTGGGATCCATTATCATATCATTCGTTTATTTTTTATATTCATGTTTTTCTCAAGAATCCCCCTCGTTATATTTAGGGTACCTTCGCAAAAGAAAACTCTTTGATGTCATCGTTCCTATTAGTGTAATTGAAATATATGGAAACCTCGCAAGTGGCGTTGTGATGCGAATATTTGATACTAGGTCAGCAGCATTACAAAGAGTGCTATTTATGAATGCTGAAAGTACATGACATTACTAAACATTTTGCCAATTTATGATGTTTTCTGCCCGATTTAAACTAACTCGCACGCAAACCAAGGCATGTGGACATTTAAAAATTACTTGTCTTTGGGTAAGCTCTGAAATAGTATAATATAAATGTAAATGAGAAATTAGGTCACGCTAGCTCACGAAACGGGAGGATTTTCAAAGTGATCTTGTGTAATATTTCGGAGAAAAAAGTTTGAAAGGAAAGTAGGTCAACCTATCTCCTAAAACAGGGGAGTATCCTGCATAATATTTCGGAGGGAACGTAGGTTAACCTATCTTTCAAAACAGCCGGTGGCGACTTTCAAAGTGGTTCAAAATCACAAATTAATAATTATCAGATTAGGTTTAGGGATGAATCGAAAAGTTGAATTTCCAGCGCCCCTAACCCTAGTTAGTTGATTGCTAATTATATTTGGGGGGGGGGGGGTTATTTTGCACCGGATTTGTACAAACGATCCACCCTGTAACTACCGGTAATATGGTTTCCAGCCGGCCTCGTGTCTGTTAGATGGAAGGAGTAACAAATGTGAAAGTCTTTGCTGTTTACGCGAGTAAGCAACTGACACCGTGATACATTGCATGAAAGTTTTGTCCGCGGCAGGTGTTAGCAGATGTCATTTCGTTGCCGATGAATTCGCTTGTTTTAAATAAACATGAATTCGCTTAAAGAGAACTCGGTTAACGAAAAGGCTTCTCTTTAATTCATAATATTAACCGGAGGAGCGCTTTTTCGAGTATCTATGCGGTTTTAAATGGGTTATATGAAAGGCTAGGGCACCTAACTTGTTAAAATCGGCAAAAGCACTTTCGCACTTTTTTTTTGGACTGCGAAGCACTTTCGCACTCATAATTTGCTTAGAGTTAACACTGGTTCACACACTGCATCCTGTGAGCCAATTACGGCCCGCATAACGATTTAACATGGCCCAACGAACTTGAGTAAAATAGTTTAACACTTCACATCTTTTTTTTCTTTTTGCGTTCTAGTTATCACTAATTTTTATGTATTTATCACAGTTTTAGCATGTGTATATTCGTAACAATTCAATTATACCGGCATTTTATTTATATGTATCGGTATCGCTCTCGCATCGCATCCTCCTCCCATATCTTTCAGCTTCTTATTTTGGTCTGCGGTCAATCAATTTTGGGAAAAGCTATAAATCAAACTCAATCGACCGGATAAATTCGAAGATCAACCCTTCATCCCCCTCAAATAAACAAAAACATATCAGACTCACCATCACAGTATCCTTTCTTCCATGTCCACCAAACGAGGACACCAATGAGCAGAAGAGCGAAGATGACGGCGAAGACAATTCCAACAATTGCACCAATGTCTTGTTCCTCTGTAATTAAAAAAAAATTTTTTTTAATAATTTGTCAAAAAAAATTAAAAATCCTGGTTTACTCAGATAGAACATCCGTAAATTTAGTTAATCTGATTGTTAATGATTTTTTTACCATGCCGAAAATATACATTAGAACTACTAATTGCAATTATTTATGAAAACAGAAAATAATTAGAAAAAAAAAGTTTTGTAAATTGAAAAAAAACGTTTGTAGGTCAAGGCTATACCCAGCAGGCCGCATTCATGTTGAAATTTCAACTCCCAGTTTCACTGTGCCATAATAAGAGTGAGAATATAATTGATATCAAACTTTAAACAATAATTTACAGAAAGAGATATTTGCAGAATTTATTGCAAATTGAAGTAAGTTAAATTTGCCAAACAAACCAGTTTCAGAAATCGAAAGAAGTATTTTTATGTTTTTTTCATTTTCGACCATTATATGCTTCTAGTAATAATTTTTTAAATGGAAATTTCAGAAAATATTCTTAGAAACAGGACTTTACTAAATCAAATCGATTCAATTTGGACATCCCTATCCAACATTTACCTAAGTAGTGAAAAACATTTTTTGTTCTCTCAGCGATTATCAAAAGTTCATGGTGAGGTCACAGACAATATTGATTTTGCATTCGTTGCTACGTTTGATCAATCACAGCATGGATAACAATGTATGAAACAAGTTCAAAATAAGTTTCAAAAATGAGCATGTTTAGCGGGAATTAGGATTGGCCAAAACCGAATTTGTCATTCCAAATACATTTTGAAGTATTTTTAATTATGAAATATTGAATATATTCTAAATTACTGAAGGAGCACTAGGATATTGTGTATTAAACTACAAGTCCTTCCAGTTTACTCTCTATTTTGAATTCAACTTACAAATATAACTATCACTTGGGGATAGACTATATATTTATTCTTCGTCAATGGTTTTGCGCTGGTGGAATCGTATGCGTAAATGCAAGAATACTAGTAAGAATAAAAATGGCTAATCTTAGTGGTTCAAAGGACTTGCTGAACACAAATCGCTCTGAGCCTTGTCAAGAATTATGCCATTTCTTCTATCCCGTCTCAAACATGCTTTTTGTTTTTTCTATTCAACTGATTGGAGTATTTGGTTCTATTAAGATCTTCCTAACAGTTAGACATTTATTAAGTTAAACGTGTTATGCTCATCAGACTTCCCAACAATTAGGACAATTCATATCCCATATAGGAAATATACAAGAACCTTCCAAGAACTTGAAAATATGATATACATATCTTACGAGTACGGAAAAAGATTGAAAAATTTTACTCACTTGTTGTAATCTCGGCTGCATTGCATTTTTCACTTCCAACTGCATTTTTCGCTTCACATTGGTAAGTTCCCGCGTCACCGGCTTTGACAGACTAAAAAAAATATGATAAGAATTTTGTTAAAAAGAAGTACAGCTGTCTTGTTCAGAGTGAAAAATTCCACACAAAAAAATGGTGTCTTAAAACAAAGTTTCACCAATACCAGACTTGATAGACTAAAAAATATGTACGAAGAATTTCGTTAAAAAAAAATGTTGCTGATTATACAGAAGAGAAGCAACATGAAAAAGTGCACAAACTATCTCAACATAAGTTATGGGAATTACAAGTCTTGTCATTAAAAATGTATTTTCATATTGAATAGTGCTTTTAACTAAACTGAAAACCAGGTAAATCTATGAACACTCTAAAAATCACCATACAAAACATGGCAATGGATACCATTGGAAAAACACAAAAGCGATGAATGCCTTTTTACATTCTAGATATCTCCATTGTAAAATAGAAAAAAAACTTTCAAATGACATGTAAAATGAAGTTTGGCTACCCATACAGAACTTGAAAAAAGTGTATCTTTTAGAAATTACGGAGATGGATAGTTGCTTTTTATTTAGAAAATCTGTCTTTTCTGTATTGAAAATGTGATTTACATAAAATCCATATAGTTTAAAAAATATTATAAATATAAATAATTCTGATTAATCCACTTGAAATTATAGAGAAGTGATTACCGGTATATTACAGATTGCATATAATAGCCTATAGTACATTTGCATTAGTGTAAAACAAGACTTTTGAATGACTTAATTAGTAACTTACCGAAAACGTCAAAATTCCAGTCTCTGAACTGTAGGTGAAACTAGAGTTAGAAAAACGTGGGTCATTCCCTGGTGCAAGCGGCATAGGGATGCCATTCTTATACCAGGTGTAGGCAGGGGCAGGTACAGCTGTAACAAAAACAAATATTGCTCAGATGAAGTCATAAAACTTGTAGTTCTATAGATCCTAACGCAGGGTTTCCCGAACTGGAGTCGCAACGATATGAAAAGAGTCTGATCAATATTTTATGATTGATTTCAACCGAAGAGCAAGTGCATATTTCTGGTTGAGCGTTGTGGACGAATATTCATTGCTGTCAGAAAAGACAATTAAAATTTTATCATCATCCATCACATTAATGTCGTTCGTGTTGTAAATGAAACATTATCCTTCCTCGTTGGTTAGGTATAGAGAATAATATGGCATAGTATGGCGTGCCGCACACCCCTGCAATAAAATATAATTACTGACCTTGTGCGACCTGTTCTCTGCAATGAAATGATGCCTGATGTCCAACTGTGATTTTGAGATCGCTTGGGAAACCGCAGGATATTTGAGGATGAGGTGGAACTGTGAATGAAAAGATGGATTAATAATTGGGTAAGAAGATGTTTCCTAACTAAGAGAGGAATTCCTTTCTAGTGATCTATCAGTAGCATTGAGAATTTCTTGGCGCTCCAGAAGTATGTGTACCAATATGGGGGTAACTAATTTTGTTTGCCTACTTCACATCAAGTTGTGTGAAGAGACTGAACCCTATGGGCAGGTGGTATATTCACTTGGTTAACACAGACAGTCCTCGTACTCGTAAAAAAACTAAAATATGGAAAATCGAAATAAAGTTGTGCCCTAACTCTAACCTGGTACACATACTACGAGAGTTCTTGACATTAATACATCAGTGGATTCTTGTACAATTCATTGTTCAAAGCAAAATAAGTCTCAAATAAACATCAAATATGAAAAAATTGAACTTACCATAAACAGTAAAGTTATACATTCCTGAACCGACTGACGGGTTGTCTCCTGGGATAACCACTCGGCATGTGTAGAAGCCTGTGGAAATAAAGTTTAAAATTACGTGTTTGGCCATGCAAATCAGGATTGCCATTTAGGGTTTTGCACTGGTTTTTTCTGCGAATATACGCATTAAAATAAAAAAAAATTTAAAATATAAATCACAATATTTGGAATCTGAAACTTATTTTAAAATTACCTTATCAAATATTCTTTCGAAACAAGATCTTTAATGATGATAGAATATGGGCAGGGTTGTCCAAAACGAATCGAATATTCGAATGTATTCGAATATCAAAGTATTCGAATACCTTTTCGGCTGATTTTCGAATAATTCCGAATAGTAGCCACTTTTCGCCGTAAACGTGGTGTTTCGTTTTACGGGAATATTCAAACACTTTTTACGCTGTCTCACTTATTGTAATGACGATGAAATAGAATCGGCATTTTGATTGTTTATATCCTGTGCGACCGTACGTCGCATAGTGTTGCGACGGTTCCTTTACATTTGAACCCACGTACATTTGAACCCATGACAATTGCACCTGTATGCTATTGCACCTATGGAATTTTTTTTGTTTCACGGATAGTTAAACCCATACTAACCCTAACCCATGGGTTTTAGCACTCGCATATAGATTGAACCCGTGGATATACGCATGGGTTCAAATGTACATGGGTTCAAATGTACGGTCACCTGTTGCGACATATTTGCACGTTTGCGCGGGTGGACATTGCCGACATTCGTCTACGAGGCTTTTAATTTACAAATTCATTTCCATCACGTCAAAAATTCGTCTAATGAGTCGCTTTTCTAGGCGGGGTGGGGGCGTCTAATTGAGAAAGTATGTTTATTTTATTTCGATGTGGCCTGCTTATTATTCGCATGAGTCTTCTCAAACATGATTTGTTTAACCTCATATTTGGGTCTTAGGGTCTGCCAATCATGATATTTAATCGCAGGCCGGTTATCGTTACTTTAAAGAGAAACACGGCCACGGAGATAAAGTGATTTTGTGACCCTCTCGTTTTGCCGATTCAGCAGAACACGACAGGGACAGGAAAACACAGCTGTGAAATAACCCGTGGACGTACAGTGTAGTACTTATCACATTTCAAAATTAATTCAACATTCGGGTTAATAGGTTGTCCAAAATGATTGCCGCTTTACAACTTAAATTTACTGCTCAATTGTTAAATATAGTTAAATGATCTGGTTCTAAACATATAAAATTATTAGCGCATATTAGCATAACTGAACAACAAGGACACAATTTTTTTACCCGTCTTATTGGAGGCCTATATAGAAAAACCCCTTTTTTGAGTGCTAAAAATAGACATCGTCCTATTTGCCATGTGGACTTATTAGTCGGGAAATACGGTATTTATAGCCGTAATTGTAAGTTGGAAAAACAAGTCGATTTATTAGAAAAAATTTCTGGCAAATAATTTTGATAACGATAGTTAAAAGTATCGATCCTTCACCAAGATGATTTTTGTTGCGCAAAATAATCCAATCCATGACTGGTAACAGCATTTATTAAAATGTCATGCTGTATTAATTTAATTCTGTTCAACGTAACTCATGGTTGTATCGACAATCTGTGGACATAAAATGTGTGGTGAACTGGCCGATATTATTAAATATTGATTCCTATTTTCATATTGATAAAATAATGAAAGTATTAATACCAAATACCACGGGTATTTGTGGACATGAAATATGTAGTAAACTGCCCAATTATAATTAATTTCTGATTCGTATTTACAAAATAATAAAACTATAATTCTAAAATGCAACGGCGATCTGTGGCCTTAAAATGTGTGGTAAACCGCCCGATTTAACATTTGAGTTATGATAATAGAATTAAATTAACACGGTACGGCATTTCAAATAGAGGTATCGGTCATGGATTTGAATATTTTGCGCAGCACAAAATCATCCTAGTAAAAAGTCCATACTTTTAATACAAACCAATGGCAACCATTATCCAAATTAGTTCCCAAAATGCGGGATGAGGTATAAATTATTTTCCGACGTGTGACTATTTTTTCGTGAGTACGAAAATAAGAATCAAAAACTAATTATATTCGGCACAATATCATGGCAATCTGTGGACATAAATTGTGTGGCAAACTCGCGATTAATATTAATTTTTGATTCCTATTTTCGTATTTACAAAATACAACGGCGATCTGTGAACTTAGAATGTGTGATAAACTACCCGATTATAAATAGTTTTTGATTCCTATTTATAAAATAATAAAAGTATTATTACTCAAACATACAACGGCGACTTGCGGACTTAAAATGTGTGGTAAAGTTCCCGAATATAGTTAATTTTTGATTCGCATTTTTGTACTCACAAAAAAATTGTCACAAGTCAGAAAAATAACTCATACTTTATCCCGTTTATCGGCAAATCATTTGGATAATGGTTGATGTTTAATTAAAAGTATGGGCGTTTTACTAGGATGATTTTGTGTTGCGCAAATATTCAAATCCATCACCGATACCCCTATTGCCGTATTAATTTAATTCTGTTAACATGACTCATGGTATATGAAATATATACTGCAATAATCTGCAAATATGAAATGCCTGGTAATAAAGCTAGGTTGTAACTTCTAGATAGCAGTTATTCCATTGCTTATTGTTTGGGAATTCCTACATACATTTAGATAAGCTTCAATTAGTGGATTTTATTTTCGAAGTATTCGAAATTTCATATTCGAAAAAAATAATTTTGAATGTATTCGAAATAGTGAACTATTCGGTATTGGCCATCCCTGAATATGGGCGATTATATTATCGAGAAAAGAGATTCATCGTTTGATCAAGTTGTACAGGGTGTCCATAAAGTTCCTTTACAATTTCAATTTCAATTTTTTTATGAAGTCAGTTCTCAATACATCTTAACCAAGTTTGTTGTTTATTAATCAGTAATTGGTCAAGTATTTTTACTTCACTCAATACATCTGTGAGGGCCAAAACAATATATGGTATCAATAAATTACCTCAGCAATTTCAAACGAAAGCTTATTCTTAGAATAATATTGAAGAAGATTTTCAAACACATTACCTGTATCTGCCGAAACAAGATCTTTAATGACGATAGAATATGGGTTCTCCAGTGTGAATCTGTCTGCGAGTCCATCAACAATCTTATTTTGGTAATATATATGCGTTCCAGCGGAGTTGGGAACCGTAGAATACAACCATTCAAGACTAAAAAATTAAACAATAAATAGGTTAAATGGGTAGCAGAAGTAAAAACCTTTGTAGAATGTGTAGCCAAATATAAATTGTGGAAATTATTAGTGCTGTTGATAAATGCGATGAATAAAAACTCTACAGATTCGGGGCTCCAGAAGTGTGTGTACCAGTATGGAGGTAACTAATTTTGTTCGTCTACTATACAACTAGTTGTGTAAAGGGACTGAAACCCATAAGCATGGGATATTCACTTGGCTAACACAGACAGTCCCCTACTCGTAATAGAACTAAAAAAAGGAAAATCAGAATAAATAATAAAAAATGGCCTAACCCCAACCTGGTAAACAATCGTACTGTGGGACTTGGGAGTACCAAAGATTTTGTAAACAATATAAATTTTATTATGAAGGAACGAGAAAATTTGAACGCAGTCCAAAGGATAAGCAAACTCAACAATTAGTTTTCTATTAGGCTTTTCTACCGGTTATAAAAGTTGAAACTTTCAAAGTTCTGCTTTTACTTTATGATTCCAAAAGAAATTCCATGCATGATAGAAATTCAACTATTCTTTTAGAAGATTACATTAAGTTCCAGAAATGCACAGAACAACGAGAAGAAATTATATTCAATGTTTCGAATTTTTGATTTTAGGGGTTTCAATTTAACTATTACTCAGTAAAATTAGAATTTGAAAGTGACAAAATTCAATTAGTGAATTTGCTAGACTACTTTATTTTTTTTTAAATGATATTTTTAAATAAACTGAAATAGTCAAATGCTAGAACAACTATTTCATAAGCTGTAACAAGCATAGAATTTTCTCTCTCGACAAAACAATTTTAAGTTTGGTTAAAATAAGGGATGTCATGTACGAGAGGATTGCTGGACTCTTCGCCGTCGTAATGTGGTTCACGTAACTGCTGGTCGGTTACGGCTTCCTACACCATCAAGTCCAAGCTTCCGAAAACTAATAGTAATCCTATACTCGACATGGACTGGTAACCTGACAAGAGGCCGTGGTTCGCCATATGAATAGTCGTCTTATCGTTTTTTCTCTCTCCTGGATAAATATGTAAATCCTATCCTATTGTAAATATTGCTCACCTTGGTTCCCCGCTCTGCACAGAAGCAGTTGCACTACATTTCAATAAAACTGATTGGCCACGTACTTCCGTTTTAATTGCAGTTCCTGTTTGTCCATTTTCCAAACTCACTCTGACTCCAAAAGTAGCTAAATACAATTTGATAAATATTTTTTACAGAGAGCAAAATAAATAATTAGACTAGATTAGTGGTTTTCATACAGTGGGGTCCGCTTAGACAATTTTTGAGGGGCGTGAAGCTAATCAAAAATAAAATTACTTGTTAGATTTGATCTTGCCGCCTTTTATTGGATATCTACATTTCCTTACTGTTTAGATATTGTGATTCCACTCGCGTATTTCAACGAGTTTTTTGAATAAACTGTGCTTTCGTCTTACTATCTATCTGTTATTTGTAGATTATTGTCAGCCAGTTATTTTTGAGGTGGGTTGCGAGACTTGACAAATTCCAAAAAAACGGCTTAAAAAGTTTAAGAACCATTAGCCTAGATTAACGTTTCCTCAAACTGTGTTCAGTGGAACACTGCTGTTCCGCGAGTTTCTTTAGAATGTTCCGCAGAACAGGGATCGAAATAGTAACTAATTAGGTCGTCATGGCAATCTCGGTCGTACTTTGGCGACTCTGGGTCGTAAATTTGTCTCCCAACTGGCAAACAGGCCTTGCTATCCGACCAGGTGAACATGCCTCATGTCAGTCCAAAAGCATGGCGTTTTCGGTAGAACCATATTCGCTGTTAGAATTATATCAGCTTGCATTATTTTATATAATTACACCATTCAAAGAAATTCTGAGTTAATTCAAACACTCAAATATGGATATTTTTGAAGTATGTGAACCAAGATGGTGGACACCGGTACGTAGTATGTGTACCAGGGAGGGGGTTAGGCCATAATTTTATTCTAATTTTCCTTTTTTCAGTTCTATTACGAGTTCGGGGACTAGCCAAGTGACCAAGTGTGGTATTTGTAACTAAAATTATGGCCTAACCCTAACCTGGTACACATACTACGTTTTGTCGTCCACCATCTTGGTCACATAGTTCGGAAATACCAAAATATGATTAGTCATCCATGTCGAAATAGAACGTTTCCTTATACCTTTATGTCAGTCAATACTAATAAATTGACTGAATGAAAAACATAGAAAGAATCAGCCCAGCCAAACTCAGTGATGCAAGCCTTCTAAACAACTGATAATTATAAATTTATGTGATTAGATATTTTAAATATATATGGTAACTATTTATATTAGGGTTTAGGGCAGTAGTTCCTACCCCTTTATTGACTTGTAGCCCCATCCCGGGGGATTTTAGGACCCATGGGCCCCCTGTGATGGTATTTATAGTATTACTTTTGATTGTCTGATTCTAAATCCCATTATGTTCAAACAATTCATGTTGAACAGGGTGTTGTGAAGTAACCTTATCAAGCAATAAAACTAGGAAGAACGGGGAGAATTTATGTGTAAAGGAAATAGCACAATCAGTTGCGCCTAGCATGGGGCTCCCTCCAACAGCTCTGTGGGCCCCCTTGGTATGGGCCCCTGTTATTGAATAACATTGAAAGATTAGAAGATGACGCGAGTATAGGGAGAACAATTGAATTTAAGCGCTGAAATTAACGTAAAGGCAGAAGGGGAAAACTGTGTTGCAGCATTCACGGCTGCACAAAAAAAAATGGTTGAAGGTCCTAAAAACATAAACGCTGTAGTCATGAATTCAGCAGGCACAAGTAGGCTGGATGAAGCACTTCAGCAAGCTGGATTTGGCCCGTGGGCCGTAATTACCCCACCCCATGAGGGCCATGATCTAGGTATCACTGTGTTTGATTTTTAATGCAAATACACAAGATGAGCATAAACTAAAGAATATCCTAGATTAGGGGTGGCCAACCCCTGGCACGCGTGCTGAACTTGGCACGCGAGCCCATTTATTCAGCACGCGAGCGAGCTTTCAGAAACGAAAAAGAAATCATTATTTTCAGATAAAAAGTTTCAAGACTCTGAATTATCTGTTGAAACTCTGCGTTCGTTTAATCATTTTTGTTTGTTAACAATCCGTTATTTATTTAAATTCTTTTTGTCCATTCATGACATATGGCTTCAAAGAAATATATTATGACGTCACAACTGAGTGAGCTCTCGACAATTTGGGTCGGCACGCGTAAGAATTTTGTCATTAAATTTGGTCGATTTTGGCACGCGAGCCGGAAAAGGTTGCCCAACCCTGTCCTAGATATTTGAACCTTGGGTGTCGCTGCTTGATACCAGCTTTGGTTCCCCGCGGCTTCCTTTCCTCAGTATAATGTGTATTCAATATTATTTATTCGTCTTAATTTTGCACGATAACTTTTTTTACTGGATGGAAAAAATAAACTTGACTATGATTATGACTAAATTTATCTGATTTAGAATGTATTAAAATTTTAATAATCATTAACTAGAACCGTACCTTGTATTAGTAAAGCCGTTGAAATGATCCTAAGTAGTAATCCCATTATTGTCTTTGAATAAATCCACACAGATTAATAAATCCAAAACAGTTCCCACACAGAATAAATCCAAGTTGTATTCCTAATAATCTGTCTTAGAAGTCGCACTTAATTGAGCGTAAAAGCTGATAAACTCTGTTGAAATAAAAATGAGTTAGGACTCGTCAAGTTATAGGCTCTATAGGGGTTGTCGAATAGAGGGAAAATTTTGACTTTTCGAGTGGTACATTAGATTAAGCATAAGAATTAATCATTCAATAACTTCTAATCTGCCCTATAATATTTTCAGTGGTGTTCCCTCTAAGAAAACTGGTTCTCCCGTAGTATGTGTACCAGGTTAGGGTTAGGTCATAATTTTTATTACGATTTTCATTATTTTAGTTCTCGTACGAGTCAGGGACTGGCTGTGTTAGCTAAGTAAATAATCCCCCCGCCCATAATTTCAGTCCCTTTACACAACTTTCACCCCGAGCAAATGTTTGTTTTAGTGAGTATTAAAATCAACTGATATTAATAGCTTGAAGACCTTAGTTCAACAACTCTTTAGAAAGTCACATTTTCATCTCGGTAGAAACTTCGGCGCCCCAGAAATGTGTGTACCAATAGAGAGGTAACTAATTTTGTTTGCCTACTTTAAGGGACTGAAACCTATGAACAGGGGTTATACTCACTTGGCTAACACAGACAGTTCCAAACTCGTAATAAAACTCAAATAAGAAAATTCAGAATAAAATTTTGCCCTGGCCCTAACCTGGTACACGCATTAATTTACGGGGGGAGTACCGAAACTTCAAATACAGTAACTAACTACCGAGTCTACATTAGCAGTTCACATGAGTTATTTTGTCCAATCATAGCACACAAACAGCCAAAGCAACTTTCAGTCTAGTGTAGTTTCGAGTACTTCTAATGGGCGCAGCATAACAAATTTTGCATATGTCAATCCTGACCACCTGACTGCGTCATCCAAAAATTATGTCACTACAACGTAGAGACCCGCAACTTTGTGGTGACAATAAACCAAAAACTTCATTTCATACTACACTACAATTAAATAGGAATTTTAGCGTTGAAGTTGCAACTTTTAACAGCATTTTCCAAACACATAAACCTGCAGATCCACAGCACTATTGAGCTTATTTTTCAGTTTTCCTCCTCGCCGATACGACTATGAAAATCATGCATCAATACATAAACTTATCAAACCAATGATGTCTCAGTAGTTAGAACATCTTATAATGTTTCCTCTTGACCGAGATAATACATTCTATCTTAAAACCAATCCGAAGTACCCTAATAGCAATAAATTTATCAATTTAGATCTTATTTCCTTTCAGAGGCACAGTTCTTACCACCTCATGGCAGCTCTTGCCATGGTTTTAAAGCGCTATTCCGTATTCAGTATTAACGGTATATTCACAAATTAATGTACCAGATTTTAATTGATCCTGCGGAATTATATCTACTTAAACCCTAACCCCAAATCCATCAAAACTGTATCCAAAAGAAAAACGTTCCAACTTATCAAATATTTGTCACCATAAGGGACAGCCCTGTCTTTACGGCCCACCTGGCTTGGTTACGGCAGCAAAATTTTACCTGCCATTGGTTTTCTATTTGCTGCCGCGGTATTGGCAGCTCGTCATTGGTTTGTGGCAGCTAAAAAGTCAGTCGTCGTAGGTTTGGCCGCAAATACTGCCATGGTTTTGCGGCAGCTGCAGACGCCACAGAATACTTAAAACTGCACTTGGCCTTTCATCTCCACATGCTGCCATGAATTTCTTGAATTTTACCTAAAACCACCTACTATTACCTACCTAACTATCAATAGCAATGACCTTAGTAATCCATCGATTTTCCTCTCCCCTAGATGAAGAATGAATAACATTTTAATCCCAATTGCTCATCATAACCCTAACATTAGTAAGAACATCAGCAATTGCTATCTAATCGTTTTGACTTTACTTGAATTTGAAGTAAATTTTGTCCTAGATAATCTCATTACTAACATAAGAATAGCGAGAATTTCCGAAATTAACATCTTGTCAGGTTTCCTCCCCCAAATTATGTATCACAACCTATCCTAAACAGCTGATTAGTGATAAAACAATCACAACATCTTTAATATATCCTGTATGATGCAATTCATATGTTCAATGAAACCACGTGCTTTTATATTACAATATTATGATATGACTCATACGCATTCAGCAATACTACACATTTGCTTGTTCTATTTATAGGCTATTATTTATGCTGCGATATGTTTGGTTGAAATGGACTTTAAAACTTGCTTAAAACTTAAAGTTAATAAAATAAGTAATAACATGCTTGAAGCATGTTTTGAAATTTTACATATTTCAGTTTTTGTGATTTTTATGTCAGGTGAAATGGCATGGCATGAAACTAAACCATGCTGCCGTGCACAAACTCGCCTAATCCAAAATCTAGTTTAAATTGAAATCAAGTCCGCCTGATTAGCTTTCCGAGAATGTTTTATTTCTGTACTTGGTATTATCTCATTTTTACCTTGCCACTATTTTGGGTTTTGTTAAATTAATTCTTCACTTCCCACTAAGAAAAACACATAACCAACTAAAAAGATAAACAGAGTCAAAGACAACATATCATTTATTGTCCAATTGGCGCAAAAAATTCTCAGTGAAACATTCATGTGGTACTTAACATTTCCTGCAAGTTTCTGGTCTATCAGTCTATTGGAACATTTTTACTATTGAAATAAATAATCTATTTTTCTGGACATCTGACCATTGTCTTTCTCTGCCTTAACTTCGTACAGTCATTTTTCTCACTGCTCAACACCGTTGAATAGCGAACAGTCATTTTTCGGCAAAATTTCCATTTTTTCAGCAAAAAACTAATGAAGCAACATTAAAAAAGTTGAGAATAGATGTAGGCTACACATACTGACATAACAGCGCTAGCTATAATAATTGAAATTGGTTATATACGGTACTTTTTAGCCAAGATATGGACTGAAGTTAGGCAATTTAATGATAACTTTTACAATTTAGAAAATTGTAGTTTTTCAAGCAAATTCTTTTTACAATCTTATTTGAATGGTTTAAATACTGATACAGACAATAAAATTTTCATCTTTTGCAGTAATGCAGTGATGTGCTACTTGCCATTTCATATTTCATTTGTTATTGAGCTAGAAATATTTCAAGTTTCATAGTTAAGTGGCTACAGTATCAATCAAGTTTATTTTTTTCCCAACCAGTAAAAAATAGATAGATAACACAGGCACAAATTACAAGAAAATAGTACACAATTTTACTGGGGAAGGGAAGTCGCGGGGAACCAAAACTGGTTATCGAGCAGCGACACCCGAAGTACCACTGTTATTATTGGATTATTATTGAACAACAAATAAGGTGAACACTAAACACAATAAATAAGGTGAACACTGAACACAATAAATAAAGTGAACACTAAAAACAAATACGTTGAGCTATTGTTTACAGGGGGGGGGGCAATTCTTTTTATAATTTGAAAGTTGGAGGGCTGTTTTTCTAATTGGGCACTAGTTGCAGAATTTGTTATTGTTATTATTTGAGGGAAACTGTTATCAAAGTTGTTTGAGATTTGGGCAAAAATTATGGAGCATGGACATAGCAGCAATACAATAATAATATAACTTGAATACGTGAGGAAAAAAAAACAACCTAGTCGTCTAGAAATAACAGTACAGCAGTACCGGTACCCAACTTCTGTACAAGGAAATATACTAATTACTGATACTGTAATATCAGAACACTGTGATCACAAACAGTCAGCTGTTCTTACATTTCACCAGCCTGCCAGTCCTGCAGTCTTACTGTCATATGCAGATATTGACAGAGTTATGGAATGAATGTACCAGTACTGCAGTACAGCAATTACACTGATATTCAGAAGGCTGATAATACTGTTATACTAAAGTACTATAATACTAAAGCCAACAAAATAAAACAGGCATGCCCATAATAAACCAGCCCCTACTAAAAAATATCACAGTCCAGACTAAGTTACGGTATACATCTAATTAAGATATTCCTGTCAGCGACGCCTTTGGGAATTCACTTCCAATCAAGCAGTGAGATATAATCGTGGTAACGCTAAGTAGCCGAACAATTCTGATGTTTAACTAACTTAGTCATACAATTCGAAGATCAATACAACTTTGGCAATAATGTCACTTGGAGCAGACAAAATTAATCAATATTGTTTTAAAAAAAGTTCACAAGACATTCCGCGGTCGCCATTGCGAACAGCGCGGTGTAAACAAAAGATTTGAAAACGGCGAAGCAACGAAACGTTTCAAAGAACTATATCGGTATTGTGGCTCGTGGACTATAATAGTAAATATGACGTGTATTGCGAACCAAATTCTATTTTTTCATATATATTTTTGAATTCCGACTACTGTTATATGTATAATACTAACAGGACAGTACCGTAAGTAGCCAGGTTGCTGTACCCCTAAGATTTCCCTGTCGCTGTATCACGTATGTACACTGTCTGATTGTGTTAAATTAGGTGTATTATTTTCGATAAAATGCCGTAAAAAATTTTTTTAAATTACTCGATGCTAATTATTCGCACAAATGATAGCACCTATCTACAGTCGAGAAATGTAACTATTCAGCAAACGAAACAAACAAAAATCTGGCATGCATTCTATATTTTTGAAAACCCGACATGGCAGCGATTAATCCCAAATTTTGGTGAACCAGTGATCTAAAACTCTCTCTGGGGTAAATTTAACTAATTAATATGCCTCACGTATGACAGATAATGACCCAAAGCCCAAATCAACACACGAAGCCTAAAAAGTAATGCCCACGACAACGTTACGGGTCGAGAACTCGCCCGACGCGCGTTATGACGAGAGTACAAGACATTCAAAAATCCCGTACGAAAAAAGCGCGATGTTGACGTAATCGTCGTCTGCTTTGTTTGTCAGTATGGAGAAACGTCTATTTCGTATATATTTCCATATTTGGACGACATGAGAAAACGCGCTTATAAACGTTGTTCTGCTTTATACAAATGAATACATGGGTTTGATTATTTCGTAACATTAAATTATAAATATTATTATGAATCGCCTACGCACGAGAGAGCAGAGAATCAGAAG